GACATGTGACAGGAACCAATTTATATATGGGAACATCTCCAACCTTCAATATTAGGGAAATTTACAACTGGCGATATTTCACAGGCGGAGGCAAGTAAGAAAAGAGACCATTGCTATTGAGTTATTCATTTTGTATTGTAGGTGTTTATATATTGTAGATGGTTGCATAACTCAGGTGAAAATGACAACTGTTCAGCTGGATGCTTCTTCATGACCAATGCAGGCTTTTCAGCGGTTGCAGTTACCCTTCTCAATCACCGTGCTGTGTCCAAGGACCTGGCAAATCTAAAAAACATCGAGTGATGTGATACATGTAGTATGTATCCCTGAATATGAAACCCCTCCCCCTCATTGCTAGAGTGGAACGGGCGATTAACGACGGGACTCTCCTTCTGAGAGCCTCTAGATCCCTCGGCGTCCACGACAGAAAGCCGCAGTCAGTGAGGGAAAGCTAAACACGACGACATCATCCCAGCCAAAACCAGTAGACGACGTGAGCGGAGACTCTTGAGGAAGAGAAAGAAAGGAGGAGCTGCGGGCCGAAGAAAGTGGGAAAACAGGCGAGGTAATCACATGACTGCAGTAGCGCGTCGGGAAGAAAGATACTCCGGCTGGTAATAGACCCGATCTGATTGGCAGACGCCGATTACCGGGTGCCAGTCCCGTGACTGAACACTCCCGTACCCGAGGTCGTCCGTTGATTCCGATCGTTCGCGAGCCACTTGGGATTTCTTATCCTGATCAAACAGAACAATCTCAACTCCACAATCACAATGTTCTCTCAGAAGGTTGTCCAGCAGTCGATGCGACGGCGTATGTTTACCCCCAATGCCTACCTTGTCCGAATTTGCGATCTAACTTATCCCCGGACAGTTGCCGTCCAGCAGCCGTTCGCTATGCGGTCGTCCATGATGGGCGCTTCCCCTATGGCCGTTGCCCTCGGCAAGAACATCCAGACGAGGTCAGTAACCCAGCGCTAAAACGACGAGTTTCAATTATTGTTTCGCCGACCTTTCGAATCAAGCGCCTTTCTCGAAATCCTACGTCATCCGCAATCGCCAGAAGTTCATACTAACCAGAGAATCGTTGGTCTATAGACAACAAGTCACTTCGGCCCCGAACACGGAGGACCCCAGCCAGATCCTTGTCAAGCAGCGTCTTCAACGCCCTATCGCCCCTCACCTTACCATCTACAAGCCTCAGATCGGCTGGATCGGCAGTTCCTTCCACCGTATCACTGGTGTCGCTCTCTCCGGCTCCCTGTACCTCGGAGCTACTGCCTACCTCGTCTCTCCCGCTCTCGGCTGGCACCTCGAATCGGCCTCCATGGTCGCCGCCATGGGTGCTCTCCCTCTCGTGGCTAAGGTTCTCCTCAAGACCACCCTTGCCCTTCCTTTCACCTACCACTGCATGAACGGTATCCGCCACTTAATGTGGGATCTTGGCCGTGGTCTCACCAACCCTGTGATTATTAAGACTGGCTGGACTGTCGTTGGCCTCAGCGTTGCCAGTGCTGTTGGTCTTGCTCTTATTTAAATGTTTCTGTACCTCATACCTCCGAATTTCCTTATGTGTTATTAAAGTGACTTTTCTCAAATATACACGAACCTGGTCAATTGGCGCAAGTTCAAAAGGCGCTGATTCTTTTTCTTCTGTTCAGCTTTTTCATTTTCAATTTTTTTTTTTTTTTTTTCCATCAGAAATTGGATTCGGATTGGGTTAGATTACTTGCCATGATTTGAATCTACAGGTACAAGTATATTCGGCCGCTTATGCGGCTCTGTCTTGTCTTTTGGTCGTCTTTATATGGCTTTTTCTAGATAAGCTCTCCGTTTTCTCCAGTTTTCTCCAGTTTTCTAGACAGACAGCGGGAAAACGGCGGGAAAGGGCTTAAGATGTGCTGACGACTTTCCAATCCTTTGAAATTTATTCTTAATCTTGAAACTCTGGATGCACCCTCTAATCTTGTCTGGTTTCGTGGTCTACCTTTGGATGTTAGTTGGCATAACTATGTTCCATGTACAGTACAAAGACAGTCAGTATCACTTGGTATAGTTCCATTAAGCTATTTTGCCTGACGATGGGTATGCGAATGAGAAAAGGCACCTCAAGTATATAAACCCGTCACACGAAATCCATATTCATTCTCACAGTTCGCTTTCACACATTGTTTCTTCATTTTGCCTCCTTAGGGTCCGACGTTCTTCATGACTTTGCCATTTTTTCACCTGCAATTGACAACGATATACATCGCATTATGACATCCCAGTTGCCCATGGATGTATATCCCCTGTAAAGACCGTACTTGAAATGCCTTGCAGTATGATCTGTAAAGTAAGTCAGTACTTGCTCATGTCATTCTTCGACTTGGCCAATGTATATCTAGTCAATATAGACATTTTATATGGTTGCACATACAACACTGACCTATTGTCCCATGTCTCCTCAAAGCCAAACAAGAAAAACAAATCAATTGCCATTTAAGCAGGACTAGGAGGTGGATTGGGTGGGAAAGGTCGTGGTGAGGGAGGGTCTTGCACCGAGTGATCACAAGCCAAGATGCATCCCGCAAAGGTGCAGCATGTCTGGGCTGGCGATGAAGGGGTAGCTTGGAAGCCATGAGAAAAGGTAGCGTAGCAAGCCATTTGAGTATCTGAAAGACACGAAACGAAGGTGGTTATAGTAGAATGGAGCACACAGATCGGGACTGATAGAGAAAGGAAGTATAGATATTCAACGAAAGACAGGCAAAGTACACAAGACAAAGAACTCTGGTGTTTTCCAAGGACAAAGACTAGAAATATGGAAAGGTCAATCTCGTCTATTTAAGTGATTCCAGAATCCAGGTTTCCAGGTTTAGCAGGGGTCTACAGTCTCTACACAAGTCGTACACCGCTATCCTGTCGAACATCCCAATCAAGGATTCACGACAAGAAGCCGTTTGGCGATATCCTTATTCCCGTTGCTATCCGTGGACCTTGGGGATGGCTTCTATCCGTTAAGATCAATATCTCGGTAGAGTCTGCAAGGGCCCGCTTGAAGACTTGATGTATAAACCGTTAGACAGAACCCGCAGATGGTGACACCCGCCATCGTGAGTATGATATTTTGATTTTGTTCCCTTTCTTTTCCCCGGAAGCAAGCATCGACCGGGAATTACAAGTAGATCCACTTCAAGAGACCTATTCTATTTCCGTAAAAAGCAAGTAGTATAATGTCCGCAATGGACGGGTATAGATCCTTTCCCCCGGACCAAGTGCCCCCCCCAAAGAAGGCTATAGACGGGTTTCACCAGCGGTCTGAGCCTTCGGTTTCTTGCAGCCTCTTGATGAATTCCATTTCACTGGGTTTATTCTAGATGATTTGCCGTTGGCTACTTATCCGATGGTATTTTTAAATAATGTTTGGGTTGAACAACCGTTTGTTGTTTTCAAAAGTATATATATGGATTCGAGGCCATCAAACATCAAAGTGTTTGTGTTTTGTGTCATTCAACTTTATGCTTTCGATGATCAAGGATCCTCTGCCATTCAAATACCCCAGTATTTGTAGCTAGAACTCCCACAATGCCTATTGTGCGTTGGGAACTTGCTTAGTCGCGAGAAGAATGTGCATGCAAGCGGTAGAAGCTTACAACGACCACAAGAGGCAATATGAGAAAAAGGAAGCCTACCTATGGAGCACGGCTAAATAAGACCGAATATCAATACACGTGGATCACGTTTTGTCCCCCGGTACATGACAGTCTCTTGCCTAATCCAGGTGACAAATTCATGGTATGCTGATACAACAGGGCCGTTATTCTGCAGTCCAGAAAGGCATAGGTCGTTCGAGCCAACCATTTGTGCCTCAGCCGAGCTTTTCAGCTGCGTATATCCGCAACCAAGCAGGCTCAACAACTATGCCCCGTGCTCCCGAAAGCTATGAGCTATGGCCTCTGCATACCCGGCAGGTTTTCTGGAGCAGTTGTGTTCCGAGAAGAATACCGAAGCTTCTGTCGAATGGGTCTCGATCGCCTGGAACCCTTTTTTTGGTTCTGTTCTTTTCTTTTCGACTCTTCGCCGTTTCTCTGCAGCGGCTAGAGGTCTGTGTCCTGATAGTTGGGCCGCGCTCAGGGTCTGTTGCGCCGCTGCTCGCATTGCCCGTTAGCCAGTCATATAACTGGATGATGTTACCTAGCAGAACTATTGGACCTATAGCCTAGAAGTTAAGAGAGCACAAGTTTCCTGTTAGATCATATAATGGCGACCTTTTCCAGAGAAGGATGTTGCTGAACAAAGTGGTGAGGAGATTTCCGAGATCTCTTACACCCCGTCATCGAACCCCGATTTTCAATGATGGGAATATGCAGAAAACATGAGTCAAAGCTGCTAGCAATCCGCAGCTGGAGCAAATGCATTCGTGTTATAGCGGTCCCCGTCAAAGTTGAACGGAAGCTTATATGTGCTGGATTTGGGCCCGCAAACGGCGGTATGGTGTATATTCAAGCAAAGTTTTTTTTTTATAGATAACATAGCCTGACCGCTAAGATAGCATCCACATCGCAGGGCTTCCAAGGTTCTTAATTAATGTGAGTCATGCCGCTGTGATCGTACATGTATCGAGGCATGGCAGAGTCGGAAGTTTGTGTACGTTCCACCTCCAATCACCATAGTCATGCTGGCCTGTGGTAGGCTCCCAAGGCCGGTGTCAGCGATTCAGCGTTAGTACCTTCGGATCCGATGCACAAGTCAAGCATTCGAGCGAAAGATACCACGCAGCGGTGAAGGTCCCGGTTGCCTCCGGCTTCCAAGTTGTTTAACTGCATGTCAAACCGCCGAGATAGCAATTGAGGAGATCTGAGTCCAAAAGAATCAAGATGTGGTCAACGATTAACATAGACCTCAGGGGTCTTGTGTAGATAGATGTACCGGAGATGATCGGCAGAATCACACCGCCCAAACCGAATTCTTTGCTTTCCGTTCGATCAACTCCGAGTTGACACGCAGACCACCGACCCCATGGCTTTGAATCTTTCTTCTCGAGCGGCCAGGACCGCCTGCGCTGCATCCAAATTTGCCGCTCGCCCAATCGCGGGAGTCATCCCATCCCGCACCTTCGCGACCTCTACCCCGGAGGAGTCCAGTCAACAAGAAAAGCCCCGATGGTCCTACACTCCCGCGGCGGCGAAGGCCCCGTTCAGTCTGCACCTTGACTCCAAGCGCCCGACCTTCCACGTCAATGCAGACCCGCAACTGCTCGACCGATTCTACATCCGCTTGTTCGGCAATGGCGGCGACAAGCTCCTCTCCGATGAGACCAAGTGGTTGGCAGTGACACATAAGAGTTTCGACCAAGGGCGCCGCGGATTTAACGATCGATTGGCCTTCTTGGGAAAACGCATTGTGCAGCTGCAAGCGTCTCTGGCTTTGGCGCAGGACGTTCCATACGCAGGTGCCGCCACACCGGCAGAGAACAAGGACGAGTTTGGTCGCGTGCCCTTCACCCACCCGGCTCTCGATGGATTGAACAATCTGTCTGGTGAAACCAAGAAGATTCTTACCGAGCGGTCGAAGCTTGCAGAGCTTGCAAACAAGTACGAGTTGCAGAAGGTTCTCCGATGGAGTCCCAGAAAGGTATGCCTTGATTCTAGACCTTTGTGTGTGTTCTTGATCACTAGCTAACGAATGTCTTTACTGCAGCCCAACGACCTCCGTGCCTCCGGTATTGAACTTGTTCTCGCGCATACCATGTACGCTATTGTCGGCGCTGTTTCGTTAGAGAAGGGAGGAGTCGTTGCCACCAAGGTGGCCCGCGAGCGGATACTTGAACCCCTGGGACTCAAGTCTATCTCGTAGGGGTCTGAGACTTGGGGTATTGGTCTCCTTTGGAGCATTTTCAGGGCGTTTATCTTGTTTGATATTTCTATCTGTGGTAGGTTGACTGGGGAGTGAACTCCTCAATCGGGGAACCTCTACGATTGTACATGTACTTTTAAACAGACTTTTGTTTTTTATATCGCTTTTACTTCTCCGACTACTATGTATACTGCCAAATACCACTTGAGAGTTCTACTTGCCAAGTCCAGAGTATCCTAAATGGAGCGAATTACAAGAAGAAAAATTAGAAATACATTTACAACTTACAATTTACAATTAAATGAAGATCCGATACTTTATATATATATATATAAAATATTCAACAATTCCAATTTGAAGTTATAGAAATGTATGGTTCCTCTGACGCCGCCCGAGTAACAGAGAAAGTACTCGGCCAGCTCTTATGGAACCCTCAAAAAAGATCGTAGTCTCCGCGCCTCTGTATCGCAAGGTAGTAATCAAAACACTACAACACTCCGACAGAATGCCGGAGTAGCTGTAGAAAATCACAAGGACTTTGTACTGCCTTGAACTGTCTATTGGGAGCGTTGAAGAAAGAAGAAAATAAAAAGTGCGCGACGAGCTTTTATGTGTGATTTTTACACGCTAGTCCGCTTTGAGGTTGGCGTATATCTCCGGTCTGGGACATGCGGGCATCACAATCATCCATCTGCTCCTTTCATTTCTCACCTCATCGGTCGCTATTTTATTCGTTCTTATTACTTGATTGACAATGCTGCAGTAGGCGCATAAGGTGGCTTTTTTATTTGTTTTGCTTTCACATCCCCCACCTTAAAGAGACCAGATCATCAACACTTTCTCGTCACCTATTTACCCCCATTGACACGTCATGGCGTCGGCACTCTTCTTCCTCGACCTCAAGGGCAAGGTAGGTTACTAGATATTGTGCAAAATATGGCGATGCGACTCTTTGCTGGGGAAATCGCCAATGCGTTCAGGGACAAGCCCCCGCTGACCATCTATAGACCCTTCTGGCCCGCAATTATCGCGGAGATATTCCCATGTCCGCAGTCGAGAAATTCCCTATCCTCCTCAGTGATGCCGAAGAAGAAAGCTCAGCAGTGCCTCCCTGCTTCTCTCACGAGGGAATCAACGTACGTCCCACCGAGTCCGGGCATTTTGGCCCAGACCACACTCACTCCTGAGTGTCTCCTTTTGTGCGCTTCCCACTTACTGACACAGGGTTGTCTCTGTCTAGTACCTTTATATCCGTCACAGCAACCTCTACATCCTCGCATTGACCAAACGAAACACAAATGCCACCGAAATTCTACTCTTCCTCCACAAGCTGGTGGAGGTCTTCACCGAATATTTCAAGGTACTGGAGGAGGAGAGTATCCGGGATAACTTCGTCGTTATTTACGAATTGCTGGATGAGATGATGGATTTTGGATACCCACAGACAACAGAGAGCAAGATTCTACAAGAGTAAGCAGCTGGGTCTTGATGGTATTGCGGGGTGGTGGTGAAACAGCATAACTGACGGTTCTGCGCTATGACCAGATATATCACCCAAGAGTCACACAAGTTGGATGTCCAAGCACGGCCACCCATCGCCGTCACAAATGCTGTGTCCTGGCGTAGCGAGGGGATACGCTACCGCAAAAATGAAGTCTTCCTCGACGTGGTTGAGTCCCTCAATCTTCTCGTCTCGGCAAATGGAAACGTACTGCGGTCTGAGATTCTGGGCGCTGTCAAGATGAAGTGCTACCTGAGTGGTATGCCAGAGTTGCGATTGGGCTTGAACGACAAAGCCATGTTCGAGACCACGGGTCGTGCTACACGAGGCAAGTCGGTCGAGATGGAGGACGTGAAGTTCCACCAGTGTGTCCGACTCTCACGTTTCGAGAATGACCGCACAATCAGTTTCATCCCCCCGGATGGTGAATTCGAGCTCATGAGCTACCGACTGAACACACAAGTGAAGCCGTTGATCTGGGTAGAGTGCGTGGTTGAATCGCACTCGGGATCCCGAATTGAATATATGCTCAAGGTAATATCCGAACTCAGTATAACAAACACTAGTCCCTAACCTCGATTCCACAATAGGCCAAAGCCCAATTCAAACGCCGCAGCACCGCCAACAACGTCGAGATTCTTGTCCCCGTCCCCGAAGACGCAGACTCCCCACGCTTCCGCACAAATATCGGAACCGTGCACTACGCCCCCGAGAAGTCAGCCATTATCTGGAAGATCAAGCAGTTCGGTGGTGGCAAGGAATTCCTCATGCGCGCAGAGCTCGGTCTACCATCCGTCAAGGGCGATGACGAGCGCGGCGGCGGTATGACCGGTGGATTCGGAGGTAGCATGGGCGGAGCCGGAGGCGTAGGCAAATCGAAACGGCCCATTAACGTCAAGTTTGAGATCCCCTACTTCACGACCAGTGGTATCCAAGTGCGATATTTGAAGATCACCGAACCGAAGGTAAGTCTTTCCCACCAGTGGATCCCCACGACTCTCTTATCTCTTGGAATTCATCGCTAACAACCACTTCACAGCTGCAATACCCCTCTCTCCCCTGGGTGCGATACATCACACAGTCGGGCGACATTGCCATGCGCATGCCAGAAATCCAATGAAAAAATATTCGAGCTCTCTGGATGATTTGATTTTGTACAGCCCCGTTCCCCTTCTTGCCCTTTCTTTTTTGCTCCCCTCCTTTTTTTTCATCCTTCGTTGAGGCCGGCCGGTCCGATAGATAATCAAATCCCTCCCATGTTATTACTCTCTCTTCTACCTTTGGCCGATTTATGCATCGGATGCGAGGAAATATAGATGGTTCCGGTGGGATCTTATGTCACTCCAGTATTGTATTTTGTAGTAAATGAATGCTCAACGTCTTGTTGTTGGATCATTGTAATACCTCAGCCTCTACACAGTAGACGGCAGGGGAATTGACATAGAGTGAAGAAGATCGGTGTTTATATTCTTTTTGAAGAGCAGTTTAGTTTGGAATGTGTTCGATTGATATTAGCAATGGGCTTTTAGTCAGATTGTAAGATAAATATTGAAACTGCCATAGAACACTTGAACCATTGATTTTACCTATATAACACTCAAGAGCCCTCCTAATAGCCTGTGAATACATGTAGTACCTAGGTAGTTTTCAGAAAAAAAAAAAGGTACAAAGAAATCCCACAGGGTATCTCAATTCTCAAAAAGTTGAAAAAGAAGAAAGAACCAAAAAAAAAAAAAGAAAAAAAAAAAACACATCGAATACTTTATATCTCCATAACGCCATCATTCAGCACCTGCTGTAATTTTGTCATAAAACTGTCGGAAATCACGGGAAGAAAAACCAAAGGGACGCGGAAAAAAAAAGACCACCATCCTTTAGCTATACAAAGCTAGACCGAATGTCACATCACTAATTTACCTGGGATTCCCATTCGTCCCATTCGCATGATCCTCCGCTGATTCAGGCGGAGGCAGAGGGAACCCATCACCGCCACCACTGCCGGCAGCTGCTTTTGAGAATCCCTCGCGGGCGAGCATGGTGTTGAGCACGGCGCAATTGTAAGAAGCCTCGCCGGGAGGCACAACGAGGAAGATGTAAGTGTTATCCGTGAAACGGCCGAGGAAGATGTTGAACTGGGGAGTTTTAGTGTGCATAACGACGAAGCCCGCCGAAGCCGGTGTGGTGAGTGTATTTCTTGCAGCGCAGTGCTTGAACGCCTTCATGATATTTGAAAGTCGCTCATGGCGATCATAGATCGGATTGAGCTCGCCGACCTCGGATGTCACGGAGGTAACAGTGAGGAAAGTGGAACGCTCGAAGAGGATGACTTCTTCAGCGTTTATTTTCTTCGCGAAGGCTGTTAGGAAACGCTCGATGACAATCAGGTTCGGGATGAGCTTGTGTACGATTCCGGCCCAGGCTTTGTAAAGAGATTGGTCCCAGATGCTGCTTGCGAAGGTATCGACGCGGAAATCTCTGGATCGACTGCGGATTACGGCGGAGCGCTCGTCGTAGATTCGTTGGCGGTGCTCGGCTTGGATTAGATCCATCTTGTGCACGAGGCAGAAGACGTAGGCGTTTGGGCTGAATTCGCGCAGGGCTTCGATTATCGCGTGGTAGGTGTCTAGATCGCGCTCGACTTCTCGTGATTCGATGTCGAATACGTAGATGAGGACTGCGACGTCTGAGAAGATGTTGCCGCGCTGTGAAGCTAGATAGGTTTCCATGAAGGCATCTTGTCTGAGATGGAGATCTTTGTGTTAGTGGAATGGCTCCGTGGAGTAGGAGTCAAGTATGCATTGCTCACCCTCCGCAATCCCACAGATTCAATGTGAGGTTGCCCATGAACTTGACGTGGCTGTGCTCCACATCAATTGTAGCACCGAGGCGTCGGACATCCTTTGCGACGTAGTTGCTGAAGATAATTGAGCGCATGGATGACTTTCCCGACCCACTCTTGCCCATCAGGAGCACCTTTCTCTTCTTTTTCCGTGCATCCATCTTGTCAGATGATCTTGGGGTTGCCGTTGAGCTCAATGCCCCGCTCTTGCGGGGGCAACTCGGGTCGATCTGGGGGAGCAACTCAGTGCGTTCACAGGGTCACTCGGATGCAATGGTATTGGTTTTCAGTTAGGAGTCCAAAATTAGCATGTTTTTGCCTTGACAATGGGATTGAGGGCGAGAGAGTATGAGACAAGATGGAAAGGTGATGAGCTCCAGCCTTCTAATGCGGAGACGGAACAAAGTTGACCCGAGTCATGTGACATTGGAATTACGCCGTTGGAGAGAGATAGGATTAGGCGGATAAGATAGGGAAAATAGTATGACTCTAACAATATGTCCATAGGTATTTTCCATCAAGTTACTCAGAAAATAAGAACTGGCGCGTAGTTGTGCACTTGTTGACACTCTTAGTATTTCTGTTTGTGGAGTTTTGTTTTTTATTTGAGCTTGGGGCCGAGGTTACGGGATGACGACATCCCATGGGGTCTCCCGAAAA